GAGCCATCGCACGTCCGAAGCTCTCGCGCATGGGCAGTAGCAACCCGGCGTACCGCGCAAGTAACCCTCATACGCGAGCCGCGGGTATCGCATGCGTAGCAGCGGCGCACGCGGAGGTCCGAGTTCACGCACACAACGCAACGCACGCGGAAGTCACGGCCGAGAGCTCGGTTTCAAGCCATTTAGCCTCTTGAGTTCTATAAGAGGTAAGTCCCCGTCGTCTTACGACCGAGAGTTTTAGCATGTTTATTAAGGCGAGATTTTAAGGTCATGCATGCATGTTTTGAGTAATTATACCCGTAGCCATGCGTTCATGTATCGTTATAAATTAATTCACCGAATCATGTTATTATTTTCATGAAATTCTCCGGATAATCCTCGCATACTTAGCTTTTATTTGCGAAATCATGTTTAATTGAACTTAAGTATTCGGATGATTTTACTCATGTTAGTAGAAGGTTGGCCGAGAGGGGTGTGGTCGCACACGTAGTGCGCACCACGGCCAACCGAGTACCATTTCATGTTAAGTTATAACCTTCGACCATTATGTATTATTTATGTTCAGTAAATCATGTTTAAGTTCAATTATAATTGAATGGCCGAGGGATAATATGGTTCGGTCGAGGAACGGCACCACGCCGTCGGCGGTGCACGGCGTGCCGCCGCGGCCCTAGTTCAAGCTTTTATGTGAATTTTCATGTTTTCAGCAATTATGTGTTTATATGTTCATGTCATGTTATTTTAAGTCATGTTGTTCGGAAAATATTGCCGGACGGCCGGCAAGGGCCGGCCGTGGCCGCGCTGTGATGAAGGATCTGGTGTTGCGTGTCCTCGACTTGTCTCGATCACGGCTTCGCCACGGCCTTGCTCTCGACGATAGGTGTGATCGACTCGGTTATTAGCCTAACTCTCTCACGATACTTGAGTTCACTTGGTTATTAGCCTCGTTTCACTCGCGAATAGATCGGGTCTTAGCCTCTCTAATCGTTTGAACTGGCTCGGGTCTTAGCCTCACCAATTCGATTTGTATGATCGAATCTCACGACTCTCAACACACGGTTTGAACTAACGTTCCTTTTCTATTTCATCTTCTCCTCCCTTAAAAACAATGAGGGAACATCCCTATTTATAGATCCTAACTATGACTAAG